GACCAGAACTACTTTTGAAAGCAATTTTGCAATATATAACAAGTGCCATAAATTTGTTTGAACTCCTTTCGTATTTTTGGGACTCTGTCCCAAGGAAACAATCCAAATACCTACATGAAGACATTTATCCTAGTTTTACTTATAATACCAAAATAAGTGAGCAATCTAAACCCTAACATAAATTATATTAATATTTCCAGTCATATATAACCCATTCAATATGTTATATATTACCTATTATATAATAATGATATAGCAAATTCAGAAAAATATACTGCTACTAAATGATGGTTATAGATAGGGCAACATAAAGAATGTTATGATATAATTATATTAAAAAGGATATAAAGTTATATATAGACTTATCGATTACAACCATAATAAACTCTGAAATGTAGGTGAAAATGCTAGAAAGTGTTTTGTTAAGGTAGTAGAATTAATTTAGAAAGTTGTAAAAGAAAAATTATCTGCAATGAAGTTCAATTACATTTAAAACTACTTATAACTCTCATCCTAACATGGATGAGCCTTAAAAACATTACACTATGTGAAAGAAGCCAGTCACAAAAGACTATGTATTTTATGATTTTATTTATATGAAATACTCAGAATGGGCAAATCCATAGAGACATAGAATAGATTAGTGGTTGTCTAGGGCTGGGGAGTTATGGGAAAAGAGGTGATGACATTTAAAGGGTACAGAGTTCCTGAGGTGATGAATATGTTCTAAAATTGACTGTGATGATGGTTACACATCTTTGAATATACTAAAAACTACTGAATTGCACATTTAAAATGGGTGAATTTTATGGTTTGTGAATTATGTCTCTGTTAAGGAAAAAAACCTATGCTCTAATTATTCTTTACTGCCACTTGCAAATGGTAGCAGAGGTCAAAAAAGAGGCTGGAGGCTTCTGAGACCATAAATACAGAGATATTAAAGATTAATTCTGATAGGGAATTGACCTGGACAGGTTTTAAGCCAGGATTACAAAGTGTCACTTATTGCTAACAGTCTGATGTTATCCCAAACAGTTCAATTCTATTCTGATCTTGTAGTTGAAGAGCAAACATTCCATTAGCTCTGCTGTGGTGCCACCATTCTGTGGTAGGCCCATACAATGACTTAAAAAAACTTCTTTAATAGCAATTGGATTCTTGTTGGCAATAGACAAGGCTCAAATTAACACTGCAACTATGTAATCAGCAAATAAGAATACAATCAACAGCTAAACAATCACTAAATAAAGCTTTAATAACATGATATGCATCAGGTTTAATGCATGTATAAAATATCTAAGGTGGAAAACATTTTATAATTTGCCTTTAAGCTTTATGAACAATTTAAAAAGTAAAACAGAATAAAGCAGACAAATATATTTCCCTGAAACTCACCTGAAGTGCAGAAAGGGCCACAGCGCCACAGAGACATATAAGTGGATATACAGGGAAAAGAAATCTCTCCTCTTTGTGAGGCTGGATGAAGAAAATTATAAACCAAATATACATTGGAGCCAAGGTAAGCCAATATGGATGGCCTAAATTCTGAACTGTAAAACACAGAAAAATATCCACCTTTCACCATATTAGAACAAAACAACAAATTTAGTTTCAGTGTTCTCGATCTCACACTAGAAAGTATGCCATAGGGCACCCTATAAAATGTTTCAACTCTTGTATTGACACTTTCTCTGATGAAATAAAGAAGTAGAAAGAGGTATGTACACCTCAGCTCTCCCAAGAGATCCAACATCTAAAGGGAGGTACAATACTGGATTTGGCTAGAACACAAATGAAGGTCAGGTAAATGGGTTATAGAGCTTAATTTCTACACTGGATGAAGAAAAAAATGCCATCTCTCTAATGAGTCCTGCCACTAAGACTAAAGGTTCTTGATATTAACCAAAAGCATAATATAAACTCATTTCTTGGGTTTTAATTCCTATGTTCTGTTTAATACATTAATCTTCATACCAATCGGTCTGTTCAAATAGCTACAGATCAAAGGAAAGAAAGAGTTCAATTCTCAAACCCATCACCGGTTTTAGTCAAGCCACAAATGACAAAGAGTTTATTTTAAAGCAAATATAAAAGCATTCTTAAAGAAGTTTAATGATCAAGTTTTCTCTCCTCTTCTGCAAATACCCATCCACTCTGAATCCCCAAATTGGAACCAAAATGTACTTAAAGCATGTGAAAGAATTAAAAGAATTTAATGAACACAAAGACCCAAGCACCTGCTGGAAAGTTCCTGTGGTTAGGTACATGAACACTGAGTGATAAGCCTGCAACCCACAGTGAAGGCATCCCCTACTGTGCTTATATTAGTGATAATGATCAGTGCACAGGACTCTCTAGCAAATGGTAGATAGAGGGCGCCTCCTGGTGTCCGTTACATCTATAAACAGTAAGTTTAGATGAAAAGATCAGGACTGTCACCAACATCCACCCTAAAGCGATGCCTAGTTTAGCGTTCCTAAATTATATGTTTGCAAAAACTCTTTAGAAATAAAAATTATTGAGTTGAGTTGAGTTGCAATAACAAGCTTATCTTTTAAACTTTTAACTCTAAGATTTTATCATGAGATTTTAGGCTATAATTTAAAATTTATACCTCCTCAGGAAGTACTTTACGTTGGAATTTTCTTAAATCTTCTATAAGCAAACAATCTTTTTCTCTTCTGTATCTTAAAAACTAACAAATACATTTTAAAAATATGGTCTAAATTTCCGAAATGTCCTCCATGTAATATATAAAATTGTAACCACAGTTGTACTACATGATGGGATAAACAGGTAATTTCTTTCCTACTTCTTTATACTTTTTTATGTTTTTTATTTTAAAAAAAGTATTGCTCATATTATAAAATACACAAAAAATATACAGAAAAAACAGAAAGCACTCATTTTTCCACTAGGTGGACATGTGTGTGTATTATACATTTTTAAACCAAAACTGGATTCCTACTGTAGAGAACAGCCTAATGTGCTGTTTTTATACTTACAACACAAACATTTCCAAATTTTACACAGGCATAAATTATTTTTATAGTCAGAAAAAAGTTTGGTTTTTTTTTTAAATTGATCCTTAAGAAATACAAGGAATGGAGGAATAAATTATCACCTCAATGGAACAAACGACTGAATCCGAATGTGGGATACTATACAAGGTGAATAATCCGGTTTCTTTACAAATCTTCAGAAGAAAAAAGGTTACATGGGGAATCTCTTAAAAAGCTTAAGAAACATAACACAAAAATCAGTATATGACCTTTGTTTAGATCTTGCTTTAGATCTTACAAACTCACTGTAAAAAGATATCTTTTGTTTAGATCTTACAAACTCACTGTAAAAAGATATCTTTTGTTTAGATCTCACTGTAAAAAGATATCCTTTGTTTAGGTCTTACAAACTCACTGTAAAAAGATATCTTTTAGACAATGTAGTAAATCTGAATATCAATTAGCTATTAGATGATATTAAGGAATGACTGTTAATTTTGTTAGAATAATGGCATTAAGGTTATGTTAAAAGTCCTCAAACAAACAAAAGTGACTCTGAAGGTTGTTTTCATATCCTATTATTATAATACAGTGAACTCTTTATAAACCATTAATAGTAGAAAAGCAGAATGGAGGTGGGTGGGCTGAAGGGATCGTTTATGCTGCATCCAAATCAGAAAAGTCTGAAATAAAACCTCTTTCCAAATCTCATATGCATTTCTGCTCAAAGCTGTCTTCCATAAAAGAAACTATGGGCACTAGATATCCAGAGTTATAACAACTTGAGAAAACACTAGCTGTGTAATACAGAATAAGAGGAAGCAAAAAAAAAAAATGACAAACCAAACCTTCCACAATATGGCAAACACAGAAGCAAAACGGAACAAAGAGAAATATCATGCTTCTTAGGAAGTCTAAAGCTTCTCTCACTTCAGTATCCAATTTGGGGGAATCCCTATACGGTTTAGTTTGCAAGTTTTGGGCAGAAGTAATTTCCCAAAGAATGTTCGCCTCTAGTATTGATTATCTTAAGCAATCTACCTGAAGTGTTAACACACCCTTCTTTAAAAAACAGAAGAGACTCAAATAGGCCTTTCTTTTGAGATTTTATGTGTTTTTGCCTCCTTAGGTGGTTCTGTAAATGATACTGACTTCCTCACTTTAAGGGATATCAAGCTCTTCCTTGTCAGTTTAACTTGCAATAATTAACCAGATCTTAACAGGGGTCTAAATAATCTACAAATATAGATCGAATATTCAGTAAGCTGACCACTGTCGTAGGAAGAATATGGAGGATAAACAAGTAGATTCTTTTTCGCTTTTTGGTATACATTGTTACTTGCTCTATTCTCCCCAAAAAACTATCATCCCTTGTGCCACTCACCATGAAATCTCTGCAGTAGATATTCCATAAGAGAAGTCAGTGGTAAGACCAGAAGAGCCAAAGCAAAGACAACATTAAAGTTCAGAAATCCATTAATTAAATAGAAATACCAGGGTTCTGTACCTACGGGAGACAAAGAGAGAAGAAATCATTAGTGGATGCCTTCAATACCTATTACACTGTTTGACTCTATAATGTTCTTCCTTGGAGTAATGGTGATCCAATGCCCCAACTTAAGGAATGTCCACAAGCCCATTCTTCCCATGCTCAGCCACATACAGGAAGCGTAAGAGCAGATGGGAAGAGAATGAGATTGGTCACGACAGAATCACGTTTCCAATATTAAGCTGTATTTTCTACACTGACCACTATATCTAGCCCAAATAGCCATGCCCGAATAGGAATAACACGTTTTCAGAACAATCAAATAATTTAAATAGTTTAGTGGTGACACTGAATTATATAATAAGAAATATATACTTGGTCGTCATCCTCATTCCTGGTACAAAACTCCTAAAATGTTTGGAATTTCTTAAGTGATAAAAGTAATAAAGTGTCTGTTGTTATGTTAATTAGGAGACTTTAGGGACCCTAAGGAAGGGGCCTGGTTACCAGGGGAATCAACCTTGTGAATAGAGGGTTAGAAATTTCTACCCTTTGAACTCTCACCTCAGGGGAGGGGAGAGGGGCTGGCAATAAAGTTCAGTCACCAATGACCAATGACTTAATCAGTCGAGCTGTTATAATGAAGCCTCCATAAAAACTCAAAAAAGACAGAGCTCAGAAAGCATCCTGGTTGGTAAACACAGAAGTGCTGGAGGAGTGGCATGCTCAGAGAGCATAGGAGCTCCAAGCCCTTCCCACATACCTTGCCCTATGCATCTCTTCGATCTGGCTGTTCACTTGTGTCCATTATAATTCTGGTAAAGGCAAGTACATGTTTCTCTGAATTCTGTGAGCCGTTCTAGCAAATTAATTGAACCCTAGGAGGGGGCTGTTGGAACTTCCAATCTACAGCTGGTCGGTTAGAAGCACAGGCGTTAACCTGGATTTTCCATTGGCATCTGAAGTGGGAAGGGGGCAGTCCTGGAGGACTGAGCTATTGAGGCCTTTGCCATTTCATTCTCACCTGTTCATCCCATTTACATTTTAGTATCTTTCTCCTTGATATGCTTGACCACTATTTAATAGCCATGTATATAAGGACCCTTGTGTTTCATAAATAGCAAAACTTGTTTTCCTTAGGAAAACAATGTTCAGAGACCCAGATCCTGCTCAGAAGTTTTGAAGATTTAGAATGAAACAAAATGACTGAAAACACAAGCCTTACTCACACTAGCTTTGATTCTTTAACTCAAAATCCTTAAATCCGAGTGATGAGAAACAGCTCCCCTCTGCACATTTAGCAGGTTTTTCATCTGCTCGTCCCTTTTGTGTGATTACTTCAATCAGGCACTGAATGACACATGCGGATTTTAATCACTGTGTGTTGTGACACCCGCCTTGCACCACAGCAATTTCCTGCAATCAGCTTTGCTTAAAAGGGTAATCAGAAGGCAGAGGAACAGTCAAAAAACCTGACATTTTTGCAGCTTGCACAGCAAAATAAGATTAGAAACCAAATCCATAATGCTAGAAATATTTAGAGAAGGAATAAGAGGGAGAGGGGGGTACCCTGAGGAAGGACTCAAGTTCAACTGTGAGTCACCTTTTGGGAAAGTTCACTCCTTCCTGTCTGAACACAATGACTGAAGTGATTTAGAAACACAGAGGTCTTGTCCCAGGTCAAATTCATGAGAGACAATTAAATTCTGTATTCTTTAGAAATAACCTTCTGAGTTACAGAAAACTAACGGATCGTTTTATTTTCAAAACAAGTAATATGTCTTCTCTGGATTTTAAATAATATTTAACGACATGTTTTCTAAATTGAGTTCTTTCGGAGTCTGGCTTCCAGAGAGGTAAGCTTTTGCACAATTCTCTCCTGACTGCCAGGGTGGAAGCAGTGCTATCAACCTGGACATACCTTTTTCCTTAACAAATTCTGGAAATCTGAGCCTGAGAAGAAAAAGCAGAGTGAAAGGAGGTCATCTTTTACCTCATCTATTACAGACGCTAAGCATCAATAGAAAAAAAACCTTTCTCTTTGATTCTTGCAAATACATGTTTTTTTGGTTGTTTTTTTCAGGGAAGCTCTTTAGTTTCAAGCAAATATTTGTCTCTACTACAACTTACTATACCTTCTTATTAGGGCTATCTGTTTGCCTAGGTATACTGAACTCTGAGTTGAAGAACCGAAAGTATTAAGTTGGTAAACTCAATTATTTCTATGTGTTAAGAGCTCATAGACCAAGTTCTCAGCTAGGTTGTTACTTTCCTAAAGGATGGGACAAAAATTAGGGGATAAGCCAAGGGCAAAAAGGGACAAAAATAGTGAATCCTCTAATTGATGAGACATCTGCCTTAAAAAAGAGTAAAAACTTTTATCTCCAGGGAGATATTCAATGCTGCTGCGCAGAAAGTATCAAATAGTTCAGAAAATTGAACCAAGCAGAAAAACTGCTTCAGAATGACAAGCTAAGCACTGAACTGGTGCAAAAGGTAAGGTGAAAGAAAGCTGGAAGCAGGGTCTCTGCAAGGAGTGACTCACCAACCTCCCTCTTAAGGAAAAGTGCCTCAATTCCTTTCATTTGAATGAGCTAAAGGGAGCTTTGAAAGATGCTAAAAGAAGGGATGCTTACTGTTCCATAGATTGAATGATAGAGAACTGTTTTATAGGCTAATAATTTTATAGCATTGTAGGAAGTAAATTACAGTAAACCATCCTATAAATGTCAAGTTTGCACCACCAAGAGGGAGAAGCCACCAAGGTTCAACAAAAATGATGAACAAAAGAGTGAAGGCTGTAGAACAGCGCTGAATGGCCATCAACTCCAAGCAGGCCTCAAAAGATTCCGCAGGGGCTCCATCTTTTGCTAGGGCACGAATGGGAAACTGTGGGCCTTCTAATAGAGGGTGTTCGCTTTTACCTTCTGAAGTTTCCTGTCCAGTGATCTAATAAATGTTGATAAAACAATAAACAGGCAGGGATCATATTCTAAGCTGCAAAGTGACATCCTTGAACAGACCCGTTGTTATTTTTGAAGGAAGAGTGCTTCTTTTACCTGTCCTCCCGCCTTCTCTAGACATGTGTATTCATCAGGGAGCACCACTCTTCACTCATTACTCGAAAATACTTATCAGCCTCAACATCTGAGAACTCAAAATGTACAAGGATAAGAAGCAAAATCAGTGCCAGGACCACTTTCTTTTTTAGAACACTAAATTTCACCTCTTGATCTTTGACTCCATAGAGATGTTTTACCTAAGACTTTGCAATTTTACATCTACACTACTCTAAATTTCCTAAATGCCAAGTATTCTTTACCTCGCCCAAATATTCTTTTTTATTCGACAAGGGTCTGGTGCAGTATGAAAGAGCCTGCCAGTGTGCATGTCATCCTGCCATCGAAGCTCTCCAGGGGTTCCTGATCACCCACCAAGCCAAACTGTACCAGGCTTTCAAAGGTACAACTTCCTGCCCATTCTACAGATGGGGTCTTATCTTCTAGGACCCACAACTTCTGATCTGTTTTTGAAAGCTTATTCTCTTGTAGAATCTCAATAGCTAAACCCCAGGGTTTTGCTAAGGTTGTTTTCAGTGACTTTAGAGACAGACAACCCTGGCTTCTTATCCCATTTCTGCCATTTCACTTATTTAACTATGTGGCAAGTCTCTCACCATCTCCACCTTGGTTTCCTCATCTGGGAATAAGGATATATAATGCCTATCTTACAGAGTTCTTATAGAGAGAAGCAGACTGCATGTGTAAAATGTCTGGTATACAGTAGGCATTCAATAGCAAAAAGGAGCTATTGTAATTAATAGATATGAAAAACTTTCTTGCCCCCGGCTTCAAAAGACATGCTCAGGTCTGGAATGTGTCGTTAATATATGCTATCTTGCCAAGAAAGCACAGAAAGGTCCCTTTGAAAACCAGGAACCATAGAGACAGTAAATATTTATATTAGTACAATCATGACAGAGAGATGGAAATTATCTTACTCATGTCTGTATAGTTTCTACCTAAAATTCAGTTAATGCTGTAAAACTACTTCAAGTTTTTTAAGAACTCAGTACTCGATCTTTTTGTCTCAGCAGTCCCTACACTTGACATTCTATTTGTCTGAAATGAACCTCCCTTGTGTCTACTCAGCAAACTCCCACTTTTCCTTCCAGCCTCAGCTCAAGGACCACCAACTCTAAGAAGTCTTTCTTGACACTACCAGATGGACTTCCTCCTATGATTTCCTATCTTTTCACTGTAGCATGCAATACACTGAACTGTATCTATTCGTGCATCTGCAAGTTCTATGAGGACACATGGTAAATGCTCAAAACCAATTTATTCAAGGTTTCTTTAACTCAAATCAATTTATCAATTCATTCAAGAAGTATTTAGAGGCTTACTATAATTCCTATGCATAAGAAATAGCATTAAAGGATGTATGCAAAAACTAACAGAACACATTTTTAATATTAAGATAAGAAACAGTATGCCTACCATAGCTAGAGAAGATAAGTCTTTGATATTTCCTGAATGGACTCACCAATTATAATAAAATTAGCTGATAATCATAAAGTATTTTGTGGCTTAAGAAGTACTTTTATCTCTATTATTCTTATTTGGTATCAAGAAAATCTCAACCTAGTATACAACAGGTCTAACCAAAATAGTTCTAGGACATTACAGAGATCAGGGCTCAGGGCACTAATGTAATCTGGTGGGTACTCCATAATTTGTCTGTCCGTCCGTCCATCCATCCATCATCCATCCATCCACCCATCCATGACCAATTTTCCTCCAAGACCTAGAATACACAAAGACTGCCTGCTCCTAAGATGGAAGAAGTATTCTCTCTGCAGACCTGCTAAAGCAAAAAGGAGATAACACTCTTTAAAAGAATGGAAATCAGAACACCCTCCGAAAATTGTCAAGTTCAAAGATGAGGTAAAGGCACAAAACTTCTACCATCAAGGAACAACTAGTTCCTAGTAACAGATAGGAACTAGACTTTTGGTGGTAAGCATGTCATAGAGTATACAGATATCAAATAATAATGTTGTACACCTAAAATTTACATAATATTACTAACCAATGTTACCTCTAAATAAATGAATGAATGAATGAATGAATGAACAACCCCCTAAACGTCTGGCTGACTAGAGCCTTACATCAGTCCTACTGATGCCTAGTATGACAATTCCCACTGTCCCAACAAAGCTTTTTCTATCATTAGGAAACTACATCCAAAATAGCAATATCTGAACTGAAGGTATCCCAGATTCATCGATGCAGGCAGAATGGAGCTCCAAGGACTCTTCCCCATAAAATGTTAGCCAAAATGAAAAGCAGACACTAGTGTCCAGGGAAAGACCGGCCACTACTCTGCTGGATCCCGAAAACCCACCATGGGGGTCCCTGACTGGCCCACTGTTAAAACACAAACATAAACTTAAATCAGAATTTATTCTTTCTTTCCTATTCTCCCTACCAATCTGCTTATTTTCAGATTTATAAACCTTATCAATCTAGAAGACTAAAAAAATAGGTAACTTTCATATACTCTCAAAGTTTTACAAATAAGCAGTCAGAATATCAATATGTTATAACCCATTTAAAAGGTGGAGAAGCCAATTTTTCAAAATTAAATTCAAATGAACACAATTTATTCACTCACACATAATGCATATCATGCTTCCAATAAGTTCTATGTAAATCAATTTCTAACTTGCAATCTGGGTCTAAGAGGAGTCTCCCTTATCTTGTAGAATCAAATAAAACTTTACAATTAAACTAAGTAAAACAAACAATTTAAAACATGCAACTCCTAGCTAAAGGGAGACATCTAGGGGCAAAAGCTTAAAATTGGAGCTTTTTCTCACATCCTTGGGGATTTGAGAGCCAAAAAGGAGTCTATTAAAATTCCTTCACTTAGCAATTATTCTCTAACCATGCAGTTTTTGAAGTCAGTTCACTGAACACTTTATTTTAACCCATTACTTGCTATCTAAAATGACAATGTTTCTCAAATCCCAGAAGACCCAATTAAGTTTCATTCATATGCTTACTTAAACTTCATTCAATCTGTTGGCTCTATTGGCAGAGTGGCACAGAAAAATGGTAGGCATGGTTTATATTGACAAGAGACATGGATAGAGAAAATATTAACCTCCTTCATAGCAGAGTCCCAAGATAATCACATATATGGAAGCTCTAAGACCTTCAAAAGATTAAGGTAGAAGAAATTATACTTATTTTAATGAAAAACTGTCTCACAAAACTTTTACTGATTTGGATGATCTGATCAGAAAGATCTCTAGCTCTGTAGCTTTCACTAGCTCAAATGTCCTCAGGGGCCAAACGGCTGGTTGAAGAAAAAAAGGAAAAAAATGGCTGAGACATAGGCATCTGGGAAGGGGTAGAAATGGAGGTAAAATGGGGATTGCATCCCCAGACTAAAGGCATTCCACTTTTTCCCCCTCTTTATCCTAATTGGCCAAACTACTGTGGATGAAAAACGGGGTTCTATGAAAAGTAATCTCACTAGGTAATCTGATCATAAATTCCTAACTGGGCAGGTCCTGGTAGGTAGTCATGCCCCAGCCATATAACTCCTTTAGTAAAGGGCTTATCTTTGCCTTAAGCAAGCCCTGTGCATTGTTTTCGTGCATGTAGGTTAACAGGCCTTTAAAATACTCCTCCTTTTCATGCTCGACCACCCTCAAGAGAGCACATAACCTTAACCTGTAATCTAATCTCCACCTTGTTTTCCCCAACCTTTATGTAATCCTCCTTGTGTTCCCTCTTTAATTTCCAATGCAAAAAAGAAGGTGCGAAACTGTTATTCTCCAGAGAACTTGCTCCCCAGCATATATCATCAATTTGGCTCAAAGAAACTCATAAAAATTTGCTACAGGTTTGGACATTTCTTATATCAACACTACCCATTCTCCCATTTACTAAGCTTTTTCTAAACTTTCTCCCTTAATGCCTGATACTGGAGTAATGAGAATTAAAAAAGAAAAAGTAACAGTGTGTGTGTGTGTGTGTGTGTGTGTTTGTTTGTTTGTTTTTAAAATGTCTGGAAGAATATACTGCAAGGTCCCAAACAAAATGAACCCAAAGAGGCCCACACCAAGACAAAACATAATTAAAATGCCAAAGGTTAAAAGACAAAGAGAGAATCTTAAAAGCAGCAAGAGAAAATCAGTTACCTACCAGGGAGCTCCCATAAGACTGTCAGCTGCTTTTTCAACAGAACCTTTGCAGGCCAGAAGGGATTGGCATGAAATATTCAAAGTGATGAAAAGCAAGGATCTATAATCACGATTATTTTATTAAGCAAAGCTATCATTTAGAATGGAAGGACAAAGAGCTTCCAAGACAAGAAAAAGCTAAAATATAAATAATAAGATGACAAAAAGTACATATCTAGCAACAATTAATTTAAATTTAAATGGATTAAATGCTTCAGTCAAAAGACATATGGTGACTGAATGGATAAGAAAACAAAACCCTTACACAATGTGCTGTCTATAAGAGACTCGCTTCAGATCAAAAGACACACACAGACTGAAAGTAAGGGGATAGAAAATAAAATTTAACGAAAATGGAAATAAACAAGCAAAAAAAGCTGTGGTAGCAATATTAATACCAGACAAAACAGACTTTAAAACAAAGACTATAACAAAAGACAAAGAAAGACCCAGTAATCCCACTTCTAGGTATTTATCCGAAGAAAACCAAAACACTACTTCGTGCATCCAAATGTTCACTGAAGCATTATTTACAATAGCCAAGATATGGAGACAACTTGGGTGTCTATCTATGGATGAATGGATAAAGAAGAGGTGATACATACATACAATAGAATATTACTAAGCAATAAAAATGAATGAAATCTGGCCATCTGTAACAACATGGATGGACCTAGAGAGTATTGTGTCGAGTGGAGTAAGTCAGAGAAAGACAAATGTCATATGATTTCGCTTATATGTGGAATCCAGAAAACAGAATAAACAAACAACAGAAACAAGTTTATAAATATAGAGAGCATTTTGATTGGGGGTTGGGGAGATAAGTGAAGAGGTGGGGCTTGGGAGGTGCAAATTGCTGGTTACAAAATAGTCATGCGGAGGTAGGGTATAGCATAGGGAATATAATCAGTAGTAATGTAATGACTGTGTGTGGGTACTGGATTTATTGGGGTGATCACTTTGTAAATTATATAAATGTCTAATTATTGTTGTATACCTGAGACTAATATATGTCAACTAAACAAAATATAATAAAATAAAATTTAAAAAGAAAGAAAAAGTAGTGCCAAATGTGTATATGTATAAAAAATGTCTAGAGGAATATATTCTAAGGTGTTAACAATAGCTATCTGGAGATTATGAAATTATGTTTTTATTTTCTTATGTTTATCACACTGATTTTCCAATGAGAAGAGAAAAAAGTAACTTTTAATTAAAAAATAGTATCAAAAGCCATGGCATATCCAACACAGTCCTCACTATTTTGAAATTGAGAATAACAGCAGGACTAATAGAAAGCTAGACCTAAATATCACAATAATCAAGGAAAAATATTTAGTGTCAACATATCATCACTGTGCTATATTCGAATGTCATTTTTAAATAAAAAAAAAATTTTACCAGCAAAGAAATGCTATATTTGATAAAATGAGGCAAGTGAATTAAAATTTCAAAGCTCAGGCAAATTAAGCTATCTCCTAACTCTTCCCCAATCTCATAATGCCCTTACCATAAAGATCAGGTCCATGTGGAGTAAAGACATTATACAAAACAATGTTGAGTGGTGCAATCACCAACTTCCCATAATAGTAGCTGTCAATGACCACCACAGGCACCTATAACAAAGCAGAAAATATATAACAATTGTAGAATTTTGCTCTGGCAACATTCTCATAATGCTAATAGGATAAATTTCAGAATGAAAAACAGAATCAAGTCCTAATGTTCTCTTTCTCATACCAGAATTCACTTTCACACAATGGCATATACAGATGAAGTATTATAAAATTGTACCCCTGAAACTTATGTTATTAACCAATGTTACCCCAAGAAGTCATATTAAATTAAAAAAACAAAACAAAACAAGTTTCTTTCATTATAATTTTAGAACAAAACGAGAAAAAGAGAAAACTCACCAGAAAGAGTATTAGGGCCACCAGCGACCAGTGAAAGAAACTCTTCCACCTGTGTTTCATGACCAGCAAATCAAAGGCAATAGGTAAACTATTTAACAGAGAAATAGAAAGTATGGAGTTAAATACTTAGAATGTAGACATATAGACTCAAATGGATCAGATTCACACATACTTCATGCTGAACTGAGAATAAAATGTTTCTAGCAGTTATAGTGAGGGAAGAAAGGTGGTACATGAAAAGATGTCCTCTTAAAAATATACTATTCTCTTCACAGGATTCATCAGAGTGCTACGCATTCCACAATGCACAAGAAATATAAATAATGAGCTTCAAGAATGAGTTCCATTTTATACATATTTATGTGTAACGCACATTTCAAATATATTAATTTTAAGTAAATGTAAAATTAAGTGATCTATACTCACCCTGCCAAATTACTTTCTCCCTTCCATGACATACTAAGATTTCAGCAATATCATATTGCAAACTTGACTTTGATTCTGATAGAACACCATTTGCTCTACTTCCTTGCACTTAAATTCCTCAAGCTAGTGGTATATGCATGTTGCCTCCCCAAGTAGCATATATGCGTTGTCTTTACTATGTCTTCCTCAAGGCCTAGCACCAAGCTATTAAGACTGGTCTAAGGTCAATAGGAACCACCTCTCAACCAGACCCACTATGTCACATCTGTTCCTTCCTCTTTAGATTCCCTAGCTCCTGTTCTTTTCTGATCTCTTCCCTAGTGCTCCTTTCTAGACTTTTTTTCCTTCCCCACGGTAGTGTTTTATCATGGTCATATCTCCCAAATACAAGCTTCTGCTTCTTTCTCTACACTCATTTTCACAGTAGGTGCTTCCACTCTTGTTCCATGAACAATCACCTTCACATCCATAACTTTCAAATCTAGGACTCTAGTCTGAGCCTTTATCCACGCTCTAATCACAAAAAACTCCCTCTCCATACCAATCTGTTTACACAGAATCTACCCAAATGTGAACTATAGGCTCTACTCCCACCTCCTCCATAAAATCTCTGCAAAACCCAATTTCTCCCATCTCTGAATTTGTATTGCACCACCATCTAAACCACTTATTTGGCAATGTCACGTGCTGTCACATGATGTCTTCTAATTTGAACTTTCACATTCTATTACCTAAATTGTGCATTAACATTTTTTTTGAATTCCGCACCCCTCCCTGCAACTTCCACCCCTGACCTACGGATGATGCCTTCTCCCCTTAAGAACTGGATCTCTGAAGGCAGGACGTCTCATCCCACGTGCTTGTGGCGCGCACCAAGGGGGGCCTGGCGCACCCGGGGTATGGACCGTGGCTCCACTGGGGCGCAAACCCAGGACATTCTGTGTGTAAAGCAGACGTGCTAACCACTACTCAATGCATTAACATTTTGTGTTTTCATTTTTTCCCTCCCGAACTAGTGACTTTTCCATAGCACCTATATTTCTCCTTTGATGAGGCAGGGTGCTTTGGAAAAGACAAAAATGCAGCAGCCGTGGTTCCATAGTGTAGCGGTTAGCACATCTGCTTTACATGCAGAAGGTCCTGGGTTTGTGCCCCAGTGAAGCCACAGTCCATGGTCTATGGCCATGCTACCCTGAATAAGCCCAATATCTGATCTCAGAAGCTAAGCAGGGTCAGGCCTGGTTGGTACTTGGATGGGAGACCACCTAGGAAGACCAGGTGCTGTTGGCATAAATAAAATAAAAATTAAAAAAAAAAAAAAATACAAAAATACTGGGAAAAATGGAAGGCATCAGAAAAAGACGAAGCCCAACTATGAATGGATTGACTCCATAAAAGAAGCCATAGGCATGAGTCTACAGGAGCTGAGCAGGGCTGTTGAAGCCAGGACAGTATGGACATCACTCATACCTAGAGTCACCAAGAGTTGAAGTTGACTCTACAGTTCATAACACTTATGTGCATTAACTTTTAATTACTTGTTCAATGTCTGTTTTTCCCACTAAAATTCAAGCTCCAAAGAACAGGAACCATAATTGTTTTATTTATCACAATATCAGCCAAATCTAGCACAAGGTATTCAATAAATGATGGCAGACTGCTAACTGATTGACTGTGATCCTGAAATCACTTATTTTGGCTAAAGGCAGACCAATCGAAACATACCACCCAGAGGTATTTGGGGAACTCATGAAGTTCAATGTAGATGGAATAGAGAGTGAAAGGAATGGAGGAATTGACAAAAAGAGGCTGGAAAAGTTAAAAAAAAAAAAGAGAGAGAGAGAAAGAGAGAGACAGAATCGGTAAAGGCTTTGTGAGTCATGTTAGAGTTTGGACACCATAAAGCAGGGGTTGGCAACAGGACCCGATAGTGTATATTTTAGCCTGTGCAGGCCACATATGGTCTCTGTTACATATTCTTCTCTGTGTGTGTGTATTGTTTCTTAATGACCCTTTAAAAAATGCAAAAATTTGAGTTCTTGGTCTGTACAAAAAACAGGCCAACTGGATTTGGCCCACAGGCCAGAGGTTGCCAATCTTTAACACAGGGCAATGGGGAAGCTATTATAGAATTTAAAATAAAACAGGTAGTGATACAATCATATTTGCATTTTGGGAAGATAACTCTAGTTTGAATGTGGAGAGCAGATTTACAAGAATCAATACTAGAGACAGGAAGATCATTCAAGAGGCTGAATAGTAATCCAGGAGCAATGAGAGGTGAAGAAAAGTAGTCAGATTCAAAAGATATTCAGGAAGTATAATAAATTAATAGGATATAAGAAAGAGTAGAGAGTCACAAATAATTTTCAGGTTCCTGGCTCAGCAAAGATAATGGTACCATTTACTTATATACAAATATAAATAAATAAACAGATATGAAGGGAAGGTAATGAGTTCAATTTTATAAATGTTTAGCTATATAAATAGAGATATCTAATAGGCTACTAGGAACTGTATGAGTGAAGCTTAAGAAATGACTGGACTAGATATAAAGAAATGGAAATAATCAAAATGGTTGAGAGAAAGCAGAAAGTATAAAAGTAGATATCACACAAAATCTTGAAGAATATAATAATTTGAGGATGATACGCAAAACAGAATAAAAGAAAAGATTGGAGGTGGGGAAACTGGGCTTTAAAAGGCAATTAAAATTTTAAATGCCTATTCTCTGGCTTAGTAACTCCTCTTCTGTAAATTTATAAATTTTCACAAATATATAGATATGTGTACAAAAATGTTCACTGAAGCATTGCATGCAATAGGAAAAAAGTAAAAATCAAATGTCTAACAATAAAGCAACGGCTAAATAAATTATGGACAGCTATATAATGAAATGCTATGAAACTGATACAAAGAACAATAAATCTATGTACAACAGAAGTGATACAATCATATTTGCATTTTGGGAAGATAACTCTAGTTTGAATGTGGAGAGCAGATTTACAAGGATCAATACTAGAGAAAGGAAGATCATTCAAGAGGCTGAATAGCTACATGTGTACAGAATTCTATTTGCTTTAAGAATTTAGATATGTATACATATGTATATGTGTGTGTACATGTGTGTGCACTTATATATACAAGGATAATTTCTTGAAAGACATATACAAAGCTATTAGCAGTGACTAGCTTTGAAGATTTGTTAGGGGAGAGGAGAATTAAGAATTCTTTTTACCTCATACAATCTGGTACTTTTTAAAAATATATACTACTACTATAATGACATGAAACTAAAATATTTTTCTAAATTACTAGTGGTAGAGGGAATAAATCAAAGCAGCACAAACTAAAATAGAAGTAGTGGCAACAAAAAGTACAAAAGGAATGAGAGATACTGTGGAACTTGGAAAAAAAGATGCTGGGGGTAAGAAAGGAGGAGGACTGACAGGAAACTCAGATTTCAAGCCCTGGTTACTGGGAAAATGCATAGCATAGGGTGGTGCACTGTGGAGAAAATATTAACTGCAGATTCAGAAACGCCTGGATCCGAAAGCAAACAATCTTAAAGGCAATTACTCAAGCTCTTAGACTCTACTTTTTTATTTATTTTATAAAGCACTAATAATGTATTTCTCTTGCAGACTTGTTATAAGGTTTAGGGGAAAAGTTTATAAGGGGCTTAGCAGCACCTAACATACAGCAGATGTTGAATAGTCACCATTCTTATTAGAATTAATCAAAATAAGCACTAAGAGAAATATTCTTCCATTTCTCTGTCTTTGTAGATCCAAATAATTCCTCTAACTATAGTTCTATCCAGCGAATATGGAGATAGCCTAACATTATGCCCAATGATACAAGGAGGATGAATTGTATTAGTTTCTTACCCAAGAGCCACACTGAATGGCCAGCCTAAGATAGCCCCAGCTGATACTCCAAGCACAGCAATGGAAGTCTTGTCCATATACCAGCCAGTCATGCCTATCAATGTAGTATACATACAAAAGCTACTAGGAAGGAATGCTGCAAGAGAAAAGAAATGAAAAAAAGCGGGGGGGAGACGAGAGTTTGAGATTTACTGGGTATTATTAAAAACTTTCCTACATGGCAAAATGTCAATAACCAGGAACATATTTTGAGCAAAGCTATATTAGAAATGGGCAGTAAAGTGATAGTCTTTTCAAAAAAAATGAAGTACAATAATTTTATTTTCTCACTCTTGTTTTCATTACATAATACTATTACATAATACTAACTCATTACTAAGTACAATAATTTTATTTTCTCACTCTTGTTTTCAGGTACACTCACTCACTCATTACATAATACTAACTATGCCATTCTTCTAGACTGTACCCCGAATCTAAAGCTTACATAATACTAATTACATAATACTAACTATGCCATTCTTCTAGACTGTACCCCGAATCTAAAGCTTACAGAATTTCAGGTTCCTCAAGTATATCCCCAGGTTATATTTCCAGGCAGGCAATATGCTTGAAGGAATTCAGAGCCATTGATGACAATCTATTTCTGAAGGAATTTAACTTTTGATAGTCTTCTGAGACTGTCCTGGTACCAACCTATACCCTATAGGAATTCTAGCAAGCCTTTTCAAAGGCCAAATGTCGGATGGCAGCACTGCTTTGCATCTTGCATTCACTGAAATAGATAAGTTTTGCCTTTAGATGTCCCCCTAATTATTTCCATCTAACATTACTTTGCTGTTGTATACAGCAGAGGTTCTCTGTAACAGTGACGTTTTTCCAGTGTTTCTATCAACTACACAAAAATGCAGATTTGCCTCTCTCTGCTGTATGAGGCTTGCTTCATCTAGTGCTAGGGAAGAAAAGTCAGTACCAACTCCAAAAAGAACCAGGATGAACAGGCAATATGACTTAAGAAACTCAGCAAAGAGTTCAGAGGCTCTTTATCAAAAGATGCCTTTAACTTATCTGTGCCTTAACATCCTCATTTGAGATTACAAAACTAAAGACACTCCCAGGAATCACTCTCACATAAGAATCATTTTTAGGAATAGCAGAGTAACAAAAACATGTGGGGTACACCTTCACAGATAAATACTAAATAGTATCAATGCCATCCAAAGCTGCTCATTCCAGCTGCCGATGTAGAGGACAATGGGAACAGAGGAATCAGATCTCTGCCAGCTCAGAGCGTAGAGAGCAGTCACATTTAGGACACTGGCTCTCAAAATTTTCCAGGTATGGAGCCCTGAGGTCTCTGAAGAACAACATGGATTTTGATAGTCGATGAAGGAAAAATATATACTTGTGTGCTGGATACTATTTTTTGTGTGTATTTAGTATACATACTAGATTCAGGTATACACAAGCAGAAATTAAAATTGAGATAACTGTTTCTAGTAATTTAATTTTTCTGGAGAATTTGGAACAGGCTACCTTTTGGCAGTAGGCTACCCTGGCTTGGCTGATAGAACACAAATGTTCACTGTCAGCATAATTTGAAAGCCACCACTCTAGATTAAGGTTTTCTTTCTCATTTTCTACAAGCTTAATGTTTAAAAAGCCCAAAAGAAGATGTATACCTTTAAAGACTACATTGCAAATAATGGGCAGAATTGAACCACCAAGAACAGGGTTTTTAGGCACAAAGAGCTTCCTTGAGCAAAATAACAAAATTATTTTCTTTCCCCTAATTACAAAGAAAGGGAGTGGGTGTTTTTCAGTCTTGCAGTGATAAAAAATACAATAATGTAATAGAAAGCAACCTGATGAAAATAACAACTCTACCATTTATGAATTCTTTGACTTTCAGTAAGTCATTTCACCTTTCTAAGTTTTAGTGTCCTCACCAGCAAAAATGAGAAAATATTTATCTTACTTAGTACCATAGGATTGTTGTAAAGGTCTATCAAGATCATGTAGATAACAGTGGTCTGCAAATTATTGACATACAAATATGACCTCTATCTGGACAAGTTCTTTCAATGCAACTGTGAAACAGTGAATCTGTTATACCCTCACTTGCTCTTTTACTTACCTGATGATGAGCAAAACATGCCAGTGCTGAGAACCAAGAAGGCCAGCATCATTCGACTCACATGCAGCCCAAATTTCTTGCACACAGCTCTAGGAGAAAGGCAAAGACTATCAGCATAGCAAATATTAGGGATGGAAATTTCAAATTAAAGGACAAAAACATGCCTGCATCAGAGAACACTGAAGATGTAAAGTCAAATACAGAACTGTCTCAACAGGTTTGTTAGCAATTTTCCTGTGTATAAGAACCCCAAATGTTCTTATTCTTTACGCAGGACCATTCTCTATCTCTCTAAGAAGAAATGTATACTTCTTATGCTAAGAGTATGTCTACTATCAATATGAAAACAGTATGATGTTGAGGAAAAATAACAGGCCTCAGACTCACATGGACACAGGTTCAAATTCAGACTCTGCCACTTACTAGCACTGGTACCCTTGTCTAGTTACATAATCGCTCTGTCAGATTCTTCATATGTAAATGAGGATAATAATAGCTACTTCATTAGGTTTCTGTGAGGACAATGCATAGTAAAATGATTAGAGGAGTATCTGGCACAGAGGTCCTCAGTAAATGGTAGGTATAAGACAAAGAGACTAGGACATATACCAAAGTGTTAATAAGTGGCTATCTAAGTCAGTGTTTCTCAAATTTAATTAATTATGCACTTCTTTTTCCTTCTTTCTTGTAGGTTTTTAAAAACTCTATAAATGAAATATTAGTAGAGATTATCATCACTTCATTTTGTCAATATTTGTTCAGACATACCCATGTGTTAACTATTTCCTTGCTCAGTTTCCTTATTGCATATCAGAGCTTCCATCTGAAACAATTTTGCTTCTTCCTAAGTATATTCTATAGAAGTTCCTTTAATAAAGATCTATAAATGGTAAATTCTCTGGGTTTTGGTTTCTTTTTTCTTTTTCTTTTTTTGTCTGAAAAGTCTTTATTTAGCTCTTGGTCTTAAAAGATGGTTTAGCTGAGTATATAATTTTAGGATAACAGTCATTTTCTCTCAGCATCTTGAAGATTTTTTTTTTTTTTTTTTTTTGTCTTCTGGCTTTTGAGGAAGCTTCTGTCAGTCTAACTGCCAACATTCCTTTCTAGGCATTCTATTAGTTCTCTGACAACTTTTAAGATCTTCTTTGTCCTTGTTGTTCTACACAGTTTTACTACTTTTTTTTTTAATTTCCAGATCAGGATATGTTAGGCTTCCTGAATATGCGGATTAGCATCTTTTTTCATCAATTCTGAAAAATCTTTAGCAACTACTTTCCTGAAAACGTCTCCCCATTCTCCCTATCATCTCCCAGAATCTGATTAGATATATATCAGATCTTTCAACTCTACACAAGGTCAGTGGACATATATGCTGTTTCCAATCGTAGCAATTATGAATAGTGCTGCAGTGAATACTTTTAACCTTTTTTTCTTAACCTCTTTTATATTTCCTTTTGTTGTCACCCTGTACTGCATTCTTAGTAATTTCTTCAGATCAATCTTCTAAATTGTTAGCAGTGTCAAATCATGTTTAAACTACCCATCGAATTTTAAATATCAATTATATTCTCATTTCTAGAATTTGTTTGGTTCTTTTTCAAATCTGCCTAGTCATTTTTAGAGTCTCAGTTTTGTTTTGTTTTGTTTTTTATCTTTTTTAACCTTATTTTATTATGGTAAGAACGCTTAATATGAGATCTATCTTCAACAGGTTTTTAAGTGTAAAAAGTAAGTATTATTACCTATAGGCAAAATGTTGTATGGCAGATCTCTAGAACTAATTCATACTGTGTAATTGAAATTGTATACCCATTGATTAGCAACTTCCCGTTTTCCCTTCTCCCCAGTCTTTGCTATTGTGAATACTGCTGCAACGAACATGAGAGTGTGGATACCTCTTCGAGATTCTGATTTCAATTCTTTTAGATAAATACTCAGAAATGGGTTGCTAGATTACTGGTAGTTCTATCTTTAATTTTTTAAAGAACCTCATACTATTTTCCATAGTAGCAGTACCATTCTGCATTCTCACCAACAACAGTGTGCAACAGTTCCAATTTCTCTATAGCCTCACCAACATTTGTTGTCTTTTTTTTTTTGGACTTCCATTCAAGTCTTAGGTCCATTTTATAATCGGATTATTAGGGTTTCTTTTGCTATTCAGTTGTAGAGGAATTCCTTATATATTTTGGAAATGAACCTCATCAGATATGTGGTTTGCAATTATTTTCTCCCATTTTGTAAGCTCCCTTTCACTCTATTGTTTGTTTAGTCTCTTCTTTCTCAATCATGTTTTAAATTCCCTCGTTTCTTTAAAAATACTGAATATACTTATTTTACATTCTTATTTTAATAATTCCTAATAAATGAAGTTTTGCAGGTCAGCTTTCTGTTGATTATTACATCTGCTGGCTCTCACTCATAATGCTTTATTGCTTTCTGTGCTTTGTGATTTATTTTTATTATAATTTCTTGTTCACTAGAACTTTATCTGTGGTAATTCCTTGACATGTGGGTTAAGGATTCACTTCTGTAAAAAAATTTTATATTCGTTTTTGCAAGCTCCCTGGGGACACTACCAACCCAGAATAACTTAAAATAAATTCTCAACTTGGGGTTTAGGTTACTACGTGGATGACTTGAATTCAGTCCTGAACCCATATGAAGACCAACTTACGGTTACAATCCTCAAAGGCAACAATGGCTTTCTTTTTTCTCCCCTATTCTACCCAGAGTCAAAGCCAAAGAATTTTTTTATCTGACATTTTAATCTGTTTTGCAATGGGAAGATTTTTAATAATGATTATTAAGTTCAAATACCTTTTAAAGAATTCTCAAAATTAGATGTTTGTTAGGTTTCATACAAAAACAAAAAGGTAGCTATTTTTATTGCTGGAACACTTAAATGCTAATACTTCCACTATCAGTCAATCAATCAATAGGTACTTGGTAAAAGACAAAATACAGGGTGCAAATAAGAGCAGTGAGTTCCTATCAGTTAAGCTCGAGCAGAAGAGGTGAATCATGAACCTATATCTTAGGATCCAAAATAAGAATCTACTAAATCCTTCCAAATAAAAGACCAGTTAGATATGTATTAACAGAATTAAAATGAATAATATGAAGATATGGTATTTATGAACCTTAGGAAAGAAAATGATAATTAGAAGTACTCCCCTCTAATGGCTTGTTTCAAACAAGAAATCGCATTTTAGATATAATTTTAGGAGCTAAGAGGAAAGTGTTTCCTATTTTTAAACAGGAAATAGTGGTAATAAGATCAGAGAAATAATCTATGCTATTATATTGGGCTTCAGCAAAGCTTTTATACTCACTTGTAAAAGTAAAGTTCACAGACACAGCTCACAAAAGCCAGGAGACATCGTAAAAAGTAAAAGACAAGAATCTGAAAAAAAACCAAAACAAGAAAACAGAAGACAGAGATACAAGTTAGCAAAATTCTTAAAGATGAAACTACTCTCATTTGTCATTAATAACACTATAAATTGGTATAATCCTTATGAAAAGCAATATGTATCAAGAACAAAGCAAATTTTCATATCCCTAAATTCAGTATATCTACTTCTATGATTCCAGCTCACAGAAGTAACTATGTGAGTAAATATGTAAGTAAATATGGGAGGGTTCTATTCATAAAAATGTTAATTGCAGCACTATTAATTTAGAAAAACTTTTTAAAAAATTACAAAATGTTCAATTATAGGGAAATGGTTGAATAATGCTATATCTATTTCATGGACTATTACATAGATATTAAAATTTATGATTACAAAAACAGTGGAAAAATTCTTGATATAAAGCTCATTCATTCGACAAGCATTTCCTAGATAATTACAATTATATAGACGTAGATATGAACAAAACCAACTCCATCTCTGTGTCCATTTTAAGATTCATTTGTGACTGTTGACAAACTTCACTGTCCTTACTTAGCAAGCATATCAAAGCTTTCTAGATGATTATTATCTGTGTTCCTTAAAATGTAGCCATAAATAATTTTGTTTGCAACAGCCAGAATAGTATAGCAACAAAGGTAAATATCAAACTGGTAATAGTATCGATTATAAGCAATCATATCACAAGACCACCAGGAGGTATGGCCCCTGGCACTACTATATTCTTTGTCCCTTTGTGTTGTCAATAATTAATGCCCAAGCAATACTATAAAAAACGTACTATAACAGGGGTTTGGTAGTTGAGAATAACTTGCGCAAAACTGCTGAGTCATCTATCTGCTCTGGCCCAATCTTTCCATAAATAAATTACCTTATAATAAATTCTGTTATAATTTATGGAGTTATCTTCTTTCATCTTTCAGTCTGAGGATACCTTCTCATTATGGTAACCATCACACCTTTGCCCCACCATTGGACAGTAATATATTAAGTGCTGATTATTACAAAATACTAAATGAAAATGTATAATACAATATTATTTATACATCAGAGTTACAGCTTTGGAAATCAGAATTATATGAAAAGACTGGAAAGAAATATAATAAAACAGTAAAATGGCTATATCAGGCTAGTGGGATTTAGGTGCATAATTTTCCTATCTTCTAAACTTCTGTAGTGTGGTTTTATTAATTTTTTAATTAATAACATCAATTTAAAAAATAAAAATAAAATAATAGGGGTTGTACTGAATAGCTTTTATACTATAGTACACTGGTATGTTTAAGAGCATTAAATACCTCAGAATGTAAGCATAAATATATACTATAATTAATATAACTACATATAACATGGAAATGTTTTCCATTTTCATCACTATGACAAAAGAAAATCCAAAGAGTAAAGTGATAAGTAAATGCCCAGATTCATTCATTAATTCAATAAAAATTTACTGAAAACCTACTATACACTAAGCACTATTCTAGATGCTACTAGGAGTACAGATAATTTTCGTACAGAGTGTCTATGTTTAAAGACTCCTCACATTGTTGGGTAGAATACAAAAACACATATATGAAGTTAAAAATTAACACAAGTTAACATGAGAATTATATCTGGGAGTAAGAAAATGATGCCCCATAATAATGAATATTCAACATGGTAACTTGAAGTCTGGTCAGTGCAAACAGACACAAAAAATAAATGAGGTATAAGAAATGAAAGAGAAGAAACTGAACTCTATATACAGAGATGAAAGAGAATCCAAGAGATTCATCTGACAAACCATTAACACTAATAAGGAAATCTGGTGAGATTTAGATAAACGTCAAAGAGCAAAAACCAATTATGTTCCTCAGTAATGACCAGTAATGACCAGTAATACCAGTAATGACCACCTAAAAAATTTACAGAAAACAAGATGTCGTTCATAACAGCACTGAAAAGTGTAAAGAACCTAGGCATTAACCTATCAAAGACTGGATAAGGCTGAAATGGACACATTTTTTAATTTTATTAAAAGACACAGAAAACCTGACTAAATGGATAAATATAACATTTTAGGGATGGAATTATTTAACACTAAAAATATTAATTCTCAAATTAATATGTGAAGTCAGAGTAAATCCAGTCAAAAACCACCAGAATTTTGGAGAGGAGCAAACTGATTCTAAAATGATATTTAAAATAAAATTTTAAAATGGACAAAGTGAGAAATTCATCAATCAGATGTTAACACACATTACAAAGCCATAAAAGTAAAAACATAATACTGTGTGACAAACTGACCAACGACATAGAATAAAGAGTCCAGAAACAGACCCATATACATGGGATGAGTTGTATAATAGAAATGGTCTTACAAATCAGAAGGAAAAGGATGGATTATTTACCAGTTCACCATACAGCAAAAAGTAAAGCTGGATCTTTCCACGATTTACAGAAAACAAAACTCATGTGGATTAAAGTCTTTCATGTAAAAGGTAAAATTATAAAGCTAATAGAAGAAAATACAGATCTTTGTGACCTGCAGGGAAGAAGGATTTCTTTTAGAAAGACCTGAAACTCACCAACATAGTGAAAAGCTAACTGGTTTGACTATATATCAAAATTAAAGCTTAGTGTTCAACAAAGGACCACAGACAAAGCTAATAGAGAGAAGACAGCCTCGGAGAATGAATTTCTAGTATCTAAAACCTACAAGAGGTTACTATTGTGAATTTCTAAAAATGAGAAGAGAAAACCAGAAAATCCAAGTGAAAAACAGGCAAAGGATGAGAATAGGTAATACACAAAAAAGGGTAAATCTGAGTGAATAATAAATATATGAAGAAATGCTCCACCTCAGTAGTAATCAGAGAAATGCAATTAAAATGAGAAATATCTCACATACCTAAGAAGGGCAAAAATTAGAAAGTCAGAAATATCAAGTGCTCAGGAGGTGTGAGGAAGCTGAAATCTCAAACATTATTGCAGCAAGTATAAAGTTGTATAGCCCTGGAAAGTAATTTACCCTGGAAAGTAATTTGGGTATACCCATTGATTAGCAATTGTTGTACTCCAATAAAATTAAGTAGCCCATGAGTCTACGTATGGGATCTCACTCCTGATAGTTCAGAGAAATTCACAGCCCGATCCTTAGGCAGATGAAACAAAGGTGTTCTCGTTTAGGGTAGCAAGAAGCTGGAAAGGTAACCATCACTAGAGGTGCCAATTACTGCCATATTGTCTCTCATCAACAATCCACCCTTCCCTATTCTGCATTACGATGCTGGGGCTAGGACTCTACAAGCTACAATTCCCCCTTGCCAAGTAGCTCCCACTGACAGTAGGTTCCCACTGGCAGAACCTAACAGGGTGAAGATTGGAAGTAAGAACAGGGAAGAAGAGAAATCTTCATTCCTGTTCTGTTTGCTGTTTGTTATCTTTGATGTAAGAGAAATAGTGATGGAAGAGGAAGAATAACAAGTTTCATATGTCAAATTTGAAGTAATAATGAATATCCAAGTGGAAATAAAAACCTTAGGTATTGCATATTATTTCTCTACTAATCCCTCATCCTATACATCATTCATCTAATAAGTTCAAAAAAACAGAAATGAGATACTAGGGTGAGAAGGGAGAGACAGAGTTCTACCACTTTCTACAGGTGTTACTTTTCTGATCACTCTAAAATGCAAATGCAATCATGTTTCTCCTCAGTCTAAAAACTTTTGATGGCTTCCCAAAGCACTTGAGGAGAAAAAGTCTAATTCCTTAATAGAGCCTACCAGGTGTGGTATAAATCTGGCCTCTTCTTAACTCATCTAATTCACTCCACCACTTTCTCCCCTAAGAGTCAAACCTATTTATACAAGAAGGCTATGCTGGCCTTCCTCTCAGCCTCAGGGCCTTCCCGCTTCATCCACATTTTTCTTTTACCTAGACAACTCCAACTTACATTCTAATTCTTTAATCAGGGACTTCTTCATGGAAAATAGATAGATTAGTCATACTTTTCCCTATTCCTCCTGCTATGTAACATCAAAAACTCTGGGCATTAAATGTAAAACAAGCATAAGAAGATGCTGAAAGGTACAGAGAAGAAAGCAGACTGGCTATGGACTTGGGGACCTGAGGAATAACATGGAGGGGTAAGTCCTCTGGGGCATTTTTTTTTTTTTTTTTCCTTCTATTTTCCAGACGTGGAGCTACAGAAGTTGGCAACTAAAAATGTCAATGGGAAGAGGCAAAAACAACAATGAAAGCCTGCTCTATCCATCCAAAAAAAAGGGGCAGCCTAGTAAGAGAAATTTGAGACAATAACCACTGTACTCCAGCCAAGCACCCCAGAAAAAAAGGTAGCCCCACTCCTACCCGTGCCATCAAAAGTTCAGTAGGAAGCCAGGACTTTCATCCTTGCTAATGGTAATGAGCTCCCTCTTCCATGACACTGTGGTGGAGACCACTTGGAGAGTGTGGACTTCCACCTGCTTCCCCCAACCTAGCAGTAATCACGTGCCGCTTAACAACAGGGATACAGTCCAAAAAATTCGTCATTAAGCAATTTCGTCCTAGTGCAAACATCATAGAGTGTACTTACACAAACCTAGATGGTAGCCTACTAAACACACTGAGGCTATATAGTATAACTTATTGAACCTAGGCTATAAGCCTATGCGGCATGTTACTGTGTAAAATAACACCAGATTAAATCAAGGACAAGAGAAAATTATGCAATCAAGAGATGCAGTAAACATGAGATGTATGAGGCTGCTGCATAATGCTGCACAGAAAACTTTTTTTTAATAAGTAGAAAGAGTACACTCTAAAATAATGATAAAAAGTATAGTATAATAAATATATAAACCAGTAACTTCGTCATTTATATCATTATCAAGTATTATGTACTGTACATAATTGTATATGTTATACTTTTATATGATTGGCAGCACAGCATCACCACAAACACATGAGTAATGCAATGTATCTGTCGTTGACTGAAGAGTCATTATGCAATGCATGACTATAATGAGGTACTCCTACTGTGCCCACTAGGGTGGTATCAGTGGAGATGTAGTGGGGAACCTGGACTTCTACCCCCACTTGCAGTAACAAGGTGGAGAAACCCCTCCTCTCTCCTGCTGGAGTGTATCAAAAGAAGCAGGCTTAAATAAGATCCAGATGAGTAGAGTATTACACAGGAAGAATGCTGGGCCCATGAGTAAGAGCCAGAGTCTCATAATGTAATACCCCAAATATCCAAGGTTTAACTGAAAATTACTTTTCAACCAGGAAGATCTCAAATTGAATGAAAAAGTCAATCAATAAGACACCAAAAAAAAGGGGTGGGGGGAGCAATGTTAGAATTATCTGACAAAGTTTTAAAGGAGCCATTGTAAAAATGCTTCAATTAAGAACATGCTTGAAACAAATGAAAAACAAAACAAAACAAAACAAGATAGTCTCAGTAAAGAAATAAAAAATATAAAGAAAAATCAAATGAAAATGTTATAACTGAAAAATATAATAACCAAAATAAAAGCTCCATGAATAGGGTTGATAGTGGAATGGAAGAGACAGAGGGAAGAATCAGTGAACTGGAAGACAGAGGTGAGAAATTGCTCAGTCTGAACAGCACAGAGAAAATAGACTGAGAAAAAAAAGTCTCAGGGACCTGTGAGACTAAAACAAAATACCTAACATTTACATCATTGGAGTCTCAGTTGAGGAGAAAAAGGGCAAGGCTGAAAAAGTACTAAAAAAACAAACAAACAAACAAAAAAAACAACAAAAAAAAACCTAACAGCTAAAAACTTCAAACTTGGCAAGAGACTAAGCCTAAAAATTCAGGAAGCTAAGTAAACTCCAAACAGAACAAACCCAACTAATGCATGTCAAGACATAACATAGTCAAATTTCTGAAAGTAATCAGGTTAGGTCTCAGTTAACTCCTAATTATCCTTCAGCACTCTACTTAAATTAGGGTCTCCTAATATGCAAACCCATTGCACACTGTTTGCTTCCTTCATAAGACTCACTACATTTATAATTACTTGCTCAATGTTCATCTTCCCTATAAATCTATAAATTCCATGAGGGTGGGGATTTGTTCATGGTGACATCAATAGCACTTAACAAAGTGTCTACCAAATAAAGGTTGCTCAATATAATATTTGAAAAATGAATGAATGATTCTTCTTTAAAAAGTTCCCTCTTAACTACCAACCTATTTTGTCCTTTCTTCACCTCTTAATCAGTTGTGATTACTTCCAAAGTTGGCCTGCCCTTACCTTATTAGTTTGTAGAATTCTTGCATGAAATGCAGCTGGCCAGGCATGAAGCAACAGGTAAACATAGGAGCGAATGGCATAGACTGGGGAATATTCCCAAGTCTGAAACCCCTTCCCATAGATGAGGTAGTGTGTCTGAAAGTGTAAAACATGAATTCAGGGTTATATTGGCCAAACTCCTTGTTAAATGGATGCACATGAAGTTTCTAAGGAGAAATATTAATGAGACAGAGGTACACAAAAATGCTGAAACTCTCAACAAGATTTTCAACTAATAAATAAGAATCAAAATGACCCAATATTGAAAAATATTTGAACATCGTAAATTGTATAAGATTATTGTTTGGCCAACATTAAAAGCTTTAATTTTATCTTCTACCTATTTTTTTAAATACTCATTAGCCAAAATAGAGAAACTCTAAATTTTATATTTTCCTTAAACCACCGACACTAAACATTCTTTATTTTGATGCAAACTGTGATCAGAAATTTCGCCTCTAAATTTTCTATAACAGGAAATCAACATGCATAAATCTATAAATCTATAAATCAAGAGATAGTAGTATAAACATACTATTTAGTAACATTATTTACTTTAGTAAACATCAGAAGAAATAACAAAAAAAAATTGAAAGTGGTTGCCTCTGGGGACTGGATTTGAACACAGGAAGTGGAACAGGGAGCTACTGTTTTTCCTTAAAGTTTTGTAGTATTGGTTAACTTTAAAAACAATCTCAAAGTATTGTTTTGATTTTTAAAAAAATTTTAAGGAAATTACAAATTACATCTTTTTGTAAAACAGCCAAATTCCTCAGAGCCTTCAATAGTAGGTAAACCATCAGTTTTGAGTACAAAAGTGAAAACAAAGCTATTTTACTAGTAGTCACACTTGTATATATTATTTGTATCTTGATTGGTAACGAGTTCCCTAACAGTGAAATCAAGAACAATAACAATAAAAAAACAACAAAAAAGCCAACAAAGGAATCACCTACTGGTTCCCAGTAGTTGAAGGTTTCATCACAGTCAGAGATGTTGCTCAGGAGAGCAGCACATAACCTTGCTGAAAGCAGACACTTGAAAGCAGTAGATCCTTCAGGTGCCCAGACTTGACCTGCTTTGTTTCCAGAGATCCTGCTCAGAAACAAAAAATATATATATGTGTGTCAGAAAAGTCTCGATAACTAGAAGGACTAAAACTAGACAGAAAGGACGAGAATGCCAAGGGACATCAAAGCACTGAACTATTCACCTATAAAGGTGAGCCCTTAGTTGTTCTGAGTAGATCAACCTCAATCATTCCTTCCATTTCCTGTTTTTCAGACGTAAACTAATTCACACACTTTTGTTTGTTGTATCTATGACGCTCCATTTATCCCATGCCAACTAATTACTCACTTAAAGACCACAAAGCTTTCGTTCCGTTTCTTCTCTTAACAGGGTAATGACTTTCCATGGCTTTATTCATTTCCCCAAATGTTCCAATGTATAAAGACCTAATAAGTGCAAGATACCCAACCTCTTCCAATTCTATATGTTGACAGCTCTTTGAATGCAGTCCTAACCTTCAGTTCCTGGTCTTGGGAAAAGAGGTGGTTGTTGGTGCTGCAGGTTGTGGGGCCCACGCATCAGAATAAAGGGTCAGAACTTTTGAGAGAATGAAGAAAGCGGTGGAAGACAACCAAAATAGGTATACTCTGGTCTTGCCGACAGAGGCTCTGCCAACTCAAACATCAGGACGCCAGCCCACTCTGGGCCTGGGGCAGAGGCCACACGGACCCGCACCCCAGGGTTTCTTTACACAAAACACCGGACCCGAGGTGGGGGATCTACGACGGGGTGAAGACCGAACGTTAACCCGCCCAGGAAGAGCCGAAGGACCTGCGTACAGAGGCAGCCGGGCCCTCCCGGTGAGAAAGCCAGCCCCAGCAAAGCCCCGCGCCGCTCGGGCGAGACCCTCCGGGGGGCAGCCCCAAGAGCGCCGCCCGCCACGCCCCCACCGCGCCCGCACACCTACTCAGCCCGGGGCTCCGCGCCTCCCGCTCCGCGGCTGCACAGCAGCTCCCGCAGCTTGTCCGCGGCAGAGGCTGTGTCTCCGCCGCTGCTCCCGCTTCCCTTCAGGCGCTGCCGAGCCCCTCGGCTCGCCATGGCTAGCGTGGATTTAAAAAAGAAAGCGGGGTGGGGGGTGGGGAGGTGTAGAATTCGGCACCCTACGAACGCCGTGAGCACGGAGACATAGCTTTGGCTGGCAAACCGTGTCCGCTGAGGGACAAAAGACCTTGACATGCGCAGAAACGACTAAATTACAGCGTTACGGGACAAATTGGGGCAAATCCTTGAGTAGAAAAGAAACAGTACCTGAGACTTGACTTGTACAGTCACAACTCTCTCTTCCATATACGCTGGGCATTCCTCCTAATTCTCTCTTCTTTCACTTTTCAGCATTCCCCTCTCCTACAAAAACCATTCTTTACTCCCCGCCCCGCCATTTAAAAGAAAGCACAAATACGAAGTAATTAAACAACTCTACAAGGTGAGTACGCGGAAATATTCAGTTAAAAACCATAGCACAGCTGCCTACCAAAGGGGAAGTCCTTAAAAGGTCACTGACAAGATGCCCTCTCTGTATTTTGGGAAGAGTGGGACAGCCTGTAGCAATTAACTGCTTCGGGGAGATAAAGCCCTAATGGTAGAATGTAGAACGAGATGACTGAAGAAATTCTGTGCAGCAAATTCAACCAGACACCAGTGACTGCAATTGCTACTACAGCACTATAGTAAACATTTTATAGATTGTATCCTTTTTAAATTTAATGTTCATAACAACCTTGTTTTATTGAGAAGGAAGGTGAGAGGCCCAAGGTTGCATAGCTAGGAAATGGTGGCACCATATTCCAACCCAGGCCCAACCCAACCCAGGAGCTGTATCCCAACCCTGGACTTACAATAAAGCCCATGCGTGCTCTTCCAACTGGATCAGGAGAAAACTCCTAATTTCATACCGACATTTTTATACAGCCATCTTGATGATATCATGCCTGTGACTCTCTGCGTTCATTCACCTCCTTCTGACACTGTCCACTCTTCCAATCACAGAGCTCTCTACCACCCTTTGAAGTACCTAAAACTAGTTTATAGTATGATTTCATACTAAAAATTCCCTAGTATTGAAAATGACAAGTGATCGTACCACTCCATTCCCACATGCAGTTATTAGTTACCAAGTTCAGACATACCAGCCTAGCTATATCTCATACATTCATCTCTTTTTCATTTCAGTCTAATACAGGCCCCTCTCCACCTCTATCTAGGACTATTGCAATAGCATCCTTACAGAGATCTCCTATTTCAAATTCATCCTGTGCAACACTGTCCAATTAATTTTCAAAAGCTCTACTCTTGTGTCACTTTCTTAATCAAAATTCAATTTTTCCTATCGCTTGCCAAAAAAAGTACAAACTCCTTGTTTTAGCATTCAGTCTTTCATGAACTCCAGCCCCAACCTGCTTTTCTAATCCTACCTCCCACTACCTTCCTATACACATTTTACATTTCAACTAATTAGCTTGAAAAGTGCTCCAAATGCCCTCTGCTTGGAATACATGCTCTCCCTTGCCTAATAGTCCTCCCATGACATCCCTGCCTTTATTTTAAGATAAAGTTCAAATGCTAACTCATCAATGTACTAACCACTACTGGAGACAGAAGAAAGCTATATATCATATTATGTGCCCTTAATTAGCTTATAGTCTATGTAGAGAGCTAAGCAATACATGTGTCCATAAGAGATCCCTTGATTCTTCACTCCCCAAACTTACTCCTATGCAAGTTTTCCCATTCATTAACAATACTTTATTCTTCCAGTTGCTCAGGTCAAAAACCTAGGGATCCTGCTTGATTCCTCTATTTCTCTAACTCCACACCCTCTACCCATGCACATATACTTAATTCATCAGCAAGTCCTTCTAACTATCACCCAGTCCAACAACTTCTTATACCCTGGTCCAGGCCACCATTATGTCTTGCTTACATTATCATAAGAACCTCCTAATTTGTTTGCTTCCATTCTTGCCTTTTCATATACTTTTCTCCAAATACAAGAATAAATGAGACAGGTATTTCCTTCACAAGTTTACAATATAATTCCAATCAGTGGAGCCTATTAATTAACAAGAACATACACTAATTCACATTAGAGTACCCCATTCTTCAGAGTCCTGGGCAGAGCCAATCTCACAGTTTCCCTTAGAGATGCTTACAGCAGAAGCCCCTAAAATCTAGGGGGACAAACTTTGAGTAAATCACAGTTGAGAGATTACTGTTGAAGACGACTAGAGAAGGAGAAGTAAGGTAACAAAGTGGCAGGAAGAACATGGTTGTAGAGTTAGAGGAAAGTAGAAACTCTAAATCTGACACTCATTAGTTCTGTGACTTTAACAGTAGTCAACCACAAAATAAAAATGATACCAAAACTAATTATGGAGCACTTGTGACTTACCCAAGCTAATAAATGTTGGCCTGACTCTAAAAACCACTCTCATAAATTGATTTAGTGAGATGATATTATAGAGCTAAAGGAAAAGGCATTGACAGTGTGGAAAATATATTTTAATATATATTTGACGAGATATTTAAGTTCTCCTGCCTCTTCAGCAATAGAGCATCTAAAGTATAAGACGATGTTTTGTTTTATGTTTGTTTGTTTTTCTCCTCATTACTCAGGATCAAAATACTGCACAACTCTGAGGGTCACATTATAGTCTGTAAGTGATGAGTCGCAGGTATCTTTAGAGTCACCAATGGTGGCTACAGTGACAAGGTAAGATTTTACCAATAAAAAAAAAAACAGTCCAGAAAGGTCTCCCAGGTACAAATTGGTCTTCTTCATCTCACACTCATGAGAATCACACTGTAGAAATGAATTTACTAAACTACCGAGGTGTCACATGTAGTCGTTGTTGAATCTCTTTCCTGAACTGGAACTGCATTGATGCTACCTGCTGCTGGGTAAGGGCCTTGTCACAGGTCTGGTAGGTCAATCTATAACAGAGACTGACTTGTTTGGTCTTAGGATGCTGAAAACGACTAAGGGATTGTATGGATATGACAGTGTCCTGGGACACTGCTCGGGCCACAGTGTGAAACTCTAGCTCATCGAATCCTTTTTTCTCATCTAACCAAAAACTAATATCATGCACATAGCATGGAGGATATATACAATAGCTTTTAAAGGGTTCTATTTTCCCAGGGACAAAATTCTTCAAGAAACGGTTATCAAAGGTCCATAATATCCTCCAGTCAGAGATACCCCAGACAAGCATGGCTAATAGGTCCAAGTTCATACATACAAACACAAAACACTGGTTTTTGTGTATAATGCTTGTAGTAGATGTGACAGACCCAATAGTCAGATCCTTGGCACAATCTGGGCCAAAATTATGAGACTTCACATTAATCATATAATCTTTCCCATTTGGTTGAAAGACACATTCCACTGAACTGCTCAGTTTAGACCCCTCCAGAAATGTCTTGGTCAGAAGGCTATCTAGAATGCCCTTCAGTTGGTCCAGTAGTGACTGAAGACAGCCATCCTTCAAATTTTGATTAAATCCAAGGATAAATAAAGTTTCATGAAATACTGGCATTGTGAAAGGCAAGACAAGGCACTTCCGAAAGACAGGTCCACTGAGGATGTGCAGAGAACCCGGGAGGAAGTCTGGTCTTTCGATGACAGCCTGAGCATGAACTAGGAGAGAAGGTCTAAGACAGACCTTGGCTTGGCCATAGATTCCTTCATGAGCTTCTTCCTTACCATTTCTTTCAAGGTTCTTGGGAAGGCTAAATTCTGAAAGTGACACTAGAAAGTCCTCCATTTCTTGTGTTGTCCCACCAGTCAAGGACTCAGAATTTGAGTTATCCTCAAGGAGTTTAATCCAAAAGGCGTCTGATAGAATGTCACAATTCCAGGAAGTGAGAACATTGGTGCCTCCCTGTGGCAGCAAAGGGAAGGAACACTTCAGCCTTATTAGAGGGAAAGCTTTGCCCAATTCAGCAATCAGTTTCTCATTTATGGTTTTGATAGGATGACATGAAGATGCTTCTAGAAAACCCCTGTTTAAACACACACAAAAAATAACTGTTTAAACTTAAAATAATAATTACAATGTAGCTAGAATTAAAAATACAAATAGCTGAATAAATAAAAAGAATTATCCTTAAGTTGATCCTGAAAGGAGACAAAGAAATCAACCACCATAAACAGAGATATCATGTATTTCAGAATTCTGACAACCACCACCCCTACAATATAACAGAAAACATGACAACTGTTAATTCTAAAGAGGCTTATGTAGGCTAGACTGACAAGTATTCACAGTACCAACATCATAAACAGTATATGTAGCATCCATTCAACATATGGTTGCCACCAACCTAATCAGGATACAGCTAGAGATATAAGTGGTTTCTGGTAAAATAAGTTACCTGTTTAACTTTCCTGCAAGTGCTTCTGGTTCTGGAAAGGAAAACCACTGGTCACCCAATCTGATCCTAAAGGTTCTCGGTTGCGAACCTTCAAAGGGTAAGCTCCGGGTGAAGATATGGTTCAAAGCACCTTCTACATGAAAGGATTTATCTTGACTCCTGGCAAAATAGACACCAAGTATGAAGTCTGTCATTAAAGAAAACAAGTATTTCTAGAGACTGAATTGAGAAATTGACAAGAAAAAGTTTGTTTATGAGATTTCTTTTTTTACCATTAGTGAGAGAAATGAAAAGGCTTAGTTAGACCTATGTTATTACGTACCTATATCCAGTGCACTTGTACCCTGGCATAGCCTCGCAGCTGAAGGGGTGCACGTCACTTAAAATGAATCCCCCCAGAGCTGCCATGGCAACCACTTGCCAACTGTTGTGCCATTCTCTTGTGGGATTATCAGCAGGAGTCCCACCTTGTCCTCTACACAATGCCACATGGACTTCTCCTTCATCTGTAAGAACATCTGCACAGCTAATGGGAGGAGGGGTACACCAGCCATTTATCAGAAACAAGAAGAAATTACCACAAGAGTTAGCTGTATATACATGGTTTGGCTGTCAAATAATTAAAATGCAGTCATACCCATTCGCAAAGGTCTATTAGACTTCAAACATGCAAAGAAAGTAGCTGGAAGTAAATAAGAATGTAAATTCAATGTTCAACTCATAACTGATACTAGTGGCTGACCAGGGTGTTACCAACTTGGTATTTGCATTGTTCATCTGTATGTCATAGAAAGGTCAATGTTTGCAAAGTTCCTATACATGATTCACTGAACAGACTATTCTTCCCCCTGGAGAACGTTCTTTTCACTCCCCTCCTATTAAAATTCCATACTTAAAATACTAACTTAAAATACTGCCTCCGTGAAAAGTTTGTTTACAACTATGACCCAAAGAGACCTCCAATTGTATCAAGTTTTTGGTGTACTAGTGTTAAGCACTGTTTTAAGTTCACAATAATTTTATAAGGTAGTTACTGTTAATATCCTCAGTTTATAGATGAAGCAAAAAAGGATTAAGTAAGCTTACCTAAAATCACACAACTGTTAAGTGGTAAGTGTGGATTTGAATTCAGGCAGTTTGACTCCTAAATCCATGCTCTTAGCCATTAAACTATACTGGATACCATTATTTTGCATTATCAAAAATAGGTGATCCTCCCTTTACACACCCAAAAGCACATTATTTTTACTTTTACTTTTACTTAACATTTAGGATTATACGTCTACCTTTCTAACTCGATTCTGGGTTCCTTTGAAGCTTTATAGTCTCTCTAAACCTACCGTAGTAACTTACACACATATGCCTAATTTCCCAAACTAAAATGTTTGAGTGCATTATGTAAGGTACATCTTAAACATTTTGCTTTTTAGTGATTTCCTTTCCTCACCTCTGGAAAAATTTAGCAAGCAGTTCCCTGTTCCTAGCTACTCCAGTTTTGCGTCCACAGTGCGGAAAGTTAAAACAAATTCGATCAAACTCCCTGTCGTGCAGGTCAAAGGCATCTGCCAGCTGGGTGCAGTCCACACCAAAATGTATCCTGGTACCTAGCACGAAATACAGACAGGAGGATGTCTTAACACCTGGAACTAGAGAAAACCCTTCCCTAACCTGAACCGTGCGAAACAACCCAGGCCTAAGCACAGCGCGGACTTTCTGTAAATGTCCATGAGACATTCAAGAGCAACCCCCACCTTCTCTGAATCCCCAAATGCCCACCCCTTCCACTTTAAGCCAAGCAGACAGCTGGGCGGGGTTTCGCAAGGGGAGCGGGGGGCTCGCTACCTCGCTCGCGCAGGCGCTGCAGATTCTTCTGGGCCACTGGGTCCTGGGCTAAATCCGCCCGGCGCTGGAGGCAGGTGGCGGTTAGACTAGTGCTCGCGTCCAGGGTCTCGCTCAGAGCGGCGGCGAAGGAGAAATTCCCCTCCCCAACCAACAGGAGGCGCCGAGAGGCCATGGTCTCAACTTGCTCCCCACTCGCGTTCTCAGAGGCGCTCATTTATTGCGTCACGTCCTTCGCGGGTCTCGTGCCGTCCCTCTTCACTCGTCGCTGGTCGATGACGCACCCACAGCGCCCGGTTGCCTTGACAAACTAGTACAGCGACGTCCTTGGAGGAAAATAACCATGAGCGCAAAAGCAAGACGCCGAGTGCCGGGTCCCCTCACTCCCCCACCCTATCGAGAAAGTCAAAATAAATGCCTTTTAGTTCGAGGACAGCCCTGAGCGACTTCGTCACACCTGCATGAGGTCATAAGCAGTCACTAGGGCAGAAGGGCAGGCCGAGGGTGAAGCAAGTTCTGAGTGAAGGAAGCGGGGCGGGGCTGAGGCCAAGCAGAGGTTAGGCTGTGTCCGGCAAGTTCCTGTCGCAGAGGATTTTATAACAGCTTTCATTTCACCTGAAATGGCTGCTGTCCATTGTCTCTGCTGCTCAGAATCTCTCCAGGTGCCTCTATCTCCTGCCTTTTATTCAAGAAATATTTGAGTGCCTATTAAGTGCCACTGTGAGGGCAGTTCGATATATGGATGAGCAAGGTGTGGCCTATGATTTCACTGAGCTTGTAGTCTGGTGAAGGATGCACAAGCAAAAGAGGCAATTCTAATATAGTAGGATGCCATGCTATAAGTGGATTAATTCGGGGTGCTATCCTAGCATACAGAAGAAGAGTAAAGATTCCCTGGCGTTGAAACTTGAGTTGAAAGCTAAGGAGGGGAGAGGAAAGTATACCATACCTGGGTCAAGAGGAGTAAGGAGGCAGTAGGAAAAATATGTACAAAAGCATGATGGAGAAACAATAGTTGAGTTTGGCTGAAAAGTAGTTAGAGGGAGAGCGAGTAACAGATGAGACCGAAAAGTTAATCAGAAGCCAGGTCTTATAGAGCATTATAAGCCTGGACCTTATTCTGAAACAATGGCCAGAAACTGAAAGATTTTAAATAGGAAGATGACACAGATTTTCATTTTCGAAAAGTCCTGCTTTCCTCTGCAGAGGGACTGGAGAACAAGACTGATGGCAAGAAAATCAGATGTGAAGCTACTGCAGTTATAGAGACTAGGACTGATAGTGATCTGAATTGCAACTTAGCAGTGGAGATGGAGGGTAGTGGACTGATTCAAAAATCAACAAGACCTAGTGATTGGATGGATGTAAGGGATTGAAAGAGAAATCAAAGTTCAAGATAAGCCCCAGGTTCCAGGAGTAGACAACTGACTGGATGGTGATGTCTGTCTTTACAGCCCTAGGACAGTGTCACCTTGGTCCACAATCTGAGTACTAGGCCTGTTGGACTTTGTGGGACCAGCTACTCTTTTGTCATCATGCTATTTGTTGACATCAGTACATACATCTCTCTCTTCATAAAGGCACATGGTGTGAGGACAGTTGCCTTTAAACCTATAGTATTGGCTTTGTCCTTACCTGTGGAAAGGCGGGTGAGTGGTGACTCCTAAATCATGGCCACCTGTTCATGGTGATCTGGGTGATCTATATTCTTCCTTTGCTTGGAGAACTGAGAGGGCCAGGTTTGGTGACATCTCTTATTTTAAACAACATGGACTGGAAGAATAAGGTTTTCTGTCACTCCCCTATAGAAACTTCAAACTACAGAAGCGATTCAGCATCAAATTACTCTTCTTCGGGGAAGGTATTGTCTTGCTCCTAAGCCAAGGGACCAGACTCATTTTGGGGTCAAAAATAAAAATTGTTAGGCTTTTGATTTCTTACAAAAAATCAAAATTCAGACGTTGATCACGTGATATGTGCAAAACACTATTGATTGGGAAGGTAGGCAGAAGGAGAGGATGCGATAATAAGACACAGGTCTTGTCCTCAAGGAATGTACAATTCAGTATAAGGAATTTGACATATACTTCAAGAACTCTTAACATATGGTAGCAAGTTATACATATAGAAAGACATGAATATAAAGTTCTGTGTGGGACAAGTTGAGGGAAGGCGTATGGAATAAGTAGCATTTGAACTGGGCCTAGAAGGAAGGAAACTATAATTTATTGATCATTTATTGTGTTATCTAGTTTTCCAACTCTCGCTTCTCCCTATTGTCTTTGTAGCAATACTCTTAGTCCTTAAATTCCCACATCTCAAAAGTACCTGAATATTTAGTTAATTCTCCATATAGTATTGGGGGTCCTAAAGTTTTCCTGTCTTCTTGAGAAGGAGCATTTAATCTATAGTAATCTGCTACCACTGATTGAGAGGATAGGTCAAAGGACTCGTGGACCTGGAGAAAAAGAAACAGAATGACAACAATTGAATTGGGAGGAAAGCCTAGATCCTTAGTAAGGTGTGCTTACATTACGCTTGGACAAGGGTGAAAAGGGGATGCCTTTTCTGCTCTCTGGTTTGTGCAACAAGCTTTTCTATTCTTGCCTTTTCCCAGAGACAGTTCCTCACCTGTTTCCTTGCAAATCCACACTATGGCAGCCTCATTAATGCAGATGGCCATGGTGAAGTATGGACAGATTGGAATGATATGTCCAAGTTTTTCCAGTATGGATGGAGATGCACTACTAATGAGAATGCTTATTCAAACCGTACCCTGATGGGCAACTGGAACCAGGAAAGATATGACCTAAAAAATATCATGCAGCCCAAACCCTTGCATTCCCAGGTAATCTAATTTTCTCTTTATTTCCTACTGTTAGCAATAGAAATACAAGTGGCTATTTGAGATGCAGGAATTGATAACTTCCAATGCTAAGATCTCTCAGGCTTCTGTTCGGTGAAATGGTTGGAGGAGGGCTGCAGCCCTCAGTTGGAATACCTATCCCACTTTACTACCAAGTTGAATATTAAATTATTGTAAGGTAATAAAAAGATGGATAGTTCTCTTTCTCTTGCTTCTGTTTGAACTTTATTCATCTGCAGAAATAGATAGTGTTTTCTGACTCAGGCTAGCTTTCCCCCAAGTCCTTGCCTACCTAGACTTGTCATTATCTGCATCTTGCCCTTATATCGCTCTTAAACAAGTATACAAAGGTTATGAAAGTTATTAGTAGGATAAAGAGTAATGACATATAGACCTCTAGTCAATATGTCAATATGTCGATATGACAGAGCCTGTTAGAATTTATGTCACTGTGTTCTTTATTTCCCATTATTGGTTATAGACTCCTATATTTTTAATCTATTACTTTTTCTTTTCAGTTTGGACACTACTTTGAAACAACATATGATGCAAGCTACAACAAAAAAAAGCCACTTTCAACCCATAGTAGGTGGACTATTCTTTTTAATTCTTATATTCTCAGGACTTAACTCAGAGCTCAGAATGTAGAGGAACTCAAATATAAGTAAACTGAATGAGTGAATAAGTGAATGAATGAGTGCACGATTTCTCTCTTTTCTCACTGTTGACAGAACTCACTCTCTATTACCTCAGAAGTAAGAGTGTGATTGGTTACTAAGACTCCTTGCTGTTGGCTGATTCCTCTTGTCTTTCCTTCTCTTTTCTCTTCCCTCAGGATTTAAGCGAGAGCCTCACTGGTTCCCAGGACATCAACCTGAGCTGGATCCTCCTCGATACAAATGCACAGAAAAGTCAACTTATAAGAGTAGCTATTCGAAACCTCAAATTGAGCATCACTCTGTGTGTGTGTGTAATCATAATAACTGCAAATTTCCAGGTCCAGGATTCCAGAGTAGACTGTAGGAGGGAGCACATTCTAAGCACAACTAAGAATTTAGCAGACTGTAGCAGTTTCACTTCCTGAATAAATAAAGCACAGAAAATGTTCTCTACCCCACTTTTTTAAATTTAAATATCAAATTTAAATTGATTACATCTACTCCTAGGGCTACAGAAGAACTGTTGTATTTAGGAGGACATTAAAAAGAATTGTTTCTCTCAAATCTGTAACCACTCTGCTCTTCTTGGCCTTTCATCAGTAGCAGAACTGCAAAATCCAGTATGACTTAGGTTATGTTTGACATGATGATTTCCGGATATGAGCCTGGTAGTCATGGTCAGGTAGTGTAATTTTATTGTGATCTTAATTAACATCTCTGTTAAGGACTGAAAAAAATAACTTTTTTATTATTACAAAGAATTTTAAAAATACTAAAGTAGACAGAATATTATAATGAACATTCCTCTTCAAAAATTTATGACCAATTTTATGTACCCCTATCTATTATCTCCATTTTAAAATTAATTTTAGAATAGATCTCAGAAATTATATTATTTCATATCTAAAGATTTCCATTTATATTTCAAAAATATAAGACTGTCAATTTTTGACTTCTTAGAAAGATCACCACAGAAACCTGTTGATCAAACAAAGTCAAGTTATTAACCTGTAGCAAGGCGGAACATCAACTTGACAGTCTTGGTAATGATTCAAAAGAAGAATGTTAGGGTAAGGTATTTTCAGGAATTTGAGATAAGGGTTTAGTTGGTTTAAGTTTAAGATGGGTGCTTCAAAGTGGAGAACTGGTAGGGATCAACAAAATGTTGTGATTAGAGTTAATGAACACAGGGAGGCAGCAGTCTTAATTTTAAATTTTAGCTGGTATTGATATCGTAACAATAATATCTCTTCCAGTCTATGAACATGGATGTCTTTCCATTTGTGTTATCTTTAATTTCTTTTAGCATTGTCTTATAGTTTTCAGTGTACAAGTCTTTTTCTGCTTAGTTAAGTTTATTCATAAGTATTTTATTCTTTTTGATGCTATTGTAAACGAAATTGTTTTCTCAATTTTCTTTTTAGATTATTCATTGTTAATGTATAGAAATGCAACTTCTTTTTTTGTGTTAGTTTTTCTGCAACTTTGCTGAAGTTTTTATTAGTTCTAACACATTTTTGTGTGTGAAATTTAACGTTAGAGTTTTCTACATCTAAGATGTAGAAAATTTTACTTCTTCCTTTCCAACTTGATGTCTTTTCTTTTTCTTGCCTAATTTCTCTGGTTAGAACTTCTAATAATATATTGAATAAAAGAAAAGTGACATTCTTGTCTTGATCCTGATCTTAGGAGAAAGGCTTTCATTCTTCACCATTGAGTATAATATTAGCTGTAGATTTTTCATATATGGTCTTTATTATGTTTAGGTAATTTCCTGCTATTCCTAGTTGAGCGTTTCTATCATGAAAGGGTACTGAATTATGTCAAATGGTCTTTCAGCATCGATTGAGATTATCATGTTTTTTCTTCACTCTGATAATGTGGTATATTACACTGATTTTTATATGTTGAATCAACTTTGCATTCCAGAGATAAGTCTTACATTGTCATGGTGTGTAATCCTCTTTATATGCTGCTGAGTTTGGTTTGAAGGATATTTTGTTGGGGATTTTTGTATCAGTATTCATAAGAGATGTTGGCCTGTAGTTTTATTTGCAGTATTTTTGTCTGGCTTTGGTATTAGGGTAATGCTGGCCTCATAGAATGAGTTAGGAAGTGTTCCCTCCTCAATTTTTTTGGAAGAATTTGACAAGGCTTGATGTTAATTCTTATTTAAATCTTTGATAGACTTTATCAATGAAGCCATTTGATCCAGGGCTTTTGTTGTTGTTGTTGTTGGGATGTTTTAATTACTGATCTACTCTCCTTATTAGTTATATGTCTAGTCATATTTTCTATTTCTTCATAATTAAATTTTGGTAGATAATGTATTTCCAGGAATTTATCAGTTTGATCTCTGTTTTCCAATTTACTGGCATACAGTTGTTCATAGCATTCTCTTTTAATCCTTTTTATTTCTGTAAAATCTGTAGTAATATACCTTTTTTTTCTAATTTTAGTAATTTGATATTTTTTCTGCTTTTTCCTTAGTCTAGCTAAAGGTTTGTCAACTTTGTTGATCTTTTGAAAGAACCAACTTTTGGTTTCATTGATATTTTTCTATTGTTTTTTCTGTTCTCTGTTATATTTATCTCTGCTCAAAACTTTATTATTTCCTTCCTTCTGCTAGTTTTGGGCTAGGTTTGTTCATCTTTTCCTTTGGTTCCTTAAGGTTAAAAATTAGGTTATTGATTAGAAGTCTTTCTTTTTTAATGTATGTGTTTACAGCCATAAGTTTCCCTCTTAGTACTGCTTTTGCTGCATTCCAAGAGCTTTGGTATATTGTGTTCTTTTTTATTTGTCTCAAGTTATTTTCTAATTTCCCTTGTGATTTTTTCTAATCCAATAATTGTTTAAGGATGTGTTGTTTAATTTGTGAATTTTCTATTTGTCATTCTGTAATTAATTTCTAGTTTCATTGTGATCTGAAAAGATACTTTGTATGATTTCAATCTTTTAAAATATATTAAGACTGTTTTGTGGCCTAATGTATGGTCTCCATGGAAGGTTCCATGTGCACTGAAAGAAATATGTATTCTGCTATTGTTAGGTGTAGTGTTCTGCCACCACTTTGTTATTTGCCTCTAACTCCCCATTGTCAAACAAGGCTGCAGAGAATATCCTCATATATGTCCCTTTATAAAGTAAAAGAAATTACCCTTTTTGTAAATTACACTTTTTTGCTGAATTGCTGAGTCATGTGGTATGTGTATATTTAAATTGCTCTCAAGAATGGCTGTCCCACTCACACACCCAACATCTATGTCTGTGGCTTCCTATGTTGCCATATCTCTGCCAGTGCTTAGTGTTATCCAGCTTTCTATTTTTTGCCAAGCTGATAGGTGCGTAAAGTGGTGGCAGTTTTCAACCAGGAGCAATTTTGTTCCTCAGGAGACAACAGACAATGCCTAAAGGCATTTTTGATTGTTACGACTGGCATGTCTACTGGATCAAGTGGGTAATGGCCTGGGATACTGCTAACCATCCTACAATGCACAGAAGAGCCCTACGGCAAGGAATTATCTGGCCTAAAATGTCAGTAATGCAATATAGAGAAAGCCTGTTTTAAAATGATAGCTTATTGCTATTTTGATTTGCATTTCACTAAGTACTAATGATTTTCAGCATTTCTTTGTATGCATTTTGGCTTTTGGTTTCCACTTCTTTAAACTTCCTGTGTATAGTCTTAATTCATTTTTTAATGGAATAGCTGTCCTTTTCCTGGGAATTTTTTTTAATTTTCCACCTATTAATGCTATTAATTTCTTGTACATTTTAGAGAGTACATATATCTTTTCCTTTCTATCAGCTCCTGTGGAGGATTAAAGATGGCCACAAATTTCCTGGTACTTCTCCCATTAAGAGATGGAAGTATGCCCCTTTCTTTCTAATGTAGAGCCTGTAGTTGCAGGCTTTGCAACTGCTTTGACCAAAAGAATATGGCAAGAGTGATGCGGTGTGAGTTTCCAGGCCCAGGCCTTAATAAACTGGCAGCTCCCACTTCTCATCTTGTGGACTACTCTTTGGAGCCCTGAACCACCATATAAAAATCCAACTACCTGTGGAAAGACCCTACAGAGAGGCCCTGATACTACAAAGAGAGGGAGGCCGGCCCAACTGAGCCCAGCCTTCCAATCATCCTCACCAAAGCATCAGAAATGACTGATTGCTCCTGGTTGAAAGTCATCTTAAAGCCTATAGATCAGACTGTCCACCAGCTGAATACCATTAAGTGGCTCCAGTCAATGCCATGAGGAGCTAAAGAATTGTCCAGCTGAGCCCTGTGCTACAAAATAGTAAGGTCTAATAAAATGATTCTTGTTTTAAGCTACTAAATTTTGAGGTAGTTTGATATGCAAGAATAGATAACCTGAATGATATTATGTAAGCTAATACTGTATCCTACAAACTTGCTGAACTCTATTATTGGTTCTAACAGTTCGTTGATTCTGTTGGATTTATTTTGGCAAATGATTATATAATTTACAAATAATAATAGTTTCATATCTTCCAATTCTTACATCTCTTATTTTCTTCTATTATGGCATCAGCTAGAACCTTTTATGCCAAGTTAAATATTAGGAGTGATAGAATAGTAAAAGTAATATATTTAAATTTTGTTATAAAATAACATTTAAATATGGTAAATATAATTCTTGCTTTACGTTTTTGTTATATAATGTGTACGAAGTTAAGACAGCACCCTTGTGTTCCTGGTGTGTTAACAGACAGGAATTTTTTTTTCTCTTATGAAGGAGGGAGACTGAACCATACATACATAATTTGAGATAATCATAAGATTTATTTTCTTTTACTCTATTAATGTAATAAATCACTTTGAGAGATGTTTTTTTCCAATATTGACATTTTTGCCATTCCTGGAACTTCTACTTGGAGTGATAACTAAAACTATGGGCTAACAGCTTGTACTTTTAAGCCATTATGCCATTGTCTTTTGATCTTTATTGATGCAGAGAAGTCTGCTGTCAGTCTACTTATAATTCATTTATAATTAATATATCTTTTTGTCTTTATATCTCTTAACATTTTCTCTTAATCCTTATTGTTCTGAATTTTCACAGTGATATTCTGAGGTACATATTTAGTCTTATCTATCCTACCCAGTGTCTGAGGACTCATATCTATCTTCAATTCTGAAAAATCTCTTCAAATAATACTTTACTATTTTTTTTCATTAATTCTTCTAAAACACCCATTTAGATACATATTGGAGTCTCTCATTCTTTCATCCATGTATCTTAATTGTTCTGATTTTTTAATATCTTTTCTCTCTAACTTGCCGCATTCTGAGTGAATTCCTCAGCTTTCAATTTGTAAATATGCAGCTTTGACCCATATAGCATTTATAATATCAGCTAATTTCTAATATATAGAAATGGTTCTTTTTCATATCCATATATTTTTTTAAAGTTCTGCTTATTTTTGTTTAATAT